TGCTAGATGGGTAGAGGGCTAATCCTATCTTTGTTGGATCTTGGGTGAGGGCATTTGCTTATGAATAGACCTAGCTATCTCTTTAACTCTTAAGTGCTGACATCTGCTGTGGGCTATTGAGGAGGGTGGGGGCTATTAAAACTGATTGCTTTCTGCCTAAAATTGCTTCCTGCCTAAAAAACATGTTTCTCCATTTCTCATCCAGAGAAATGTGATATTCTGCCTTTTTAACATTTCCTAGAACCATGATGGCGAACCTATGGCACGCGTGCCACAGGCGGCACGTGGAGCCATGTTGCCTGGCACACCAGCTCAGCTCCGATGCGCATGCGTCAGAGTCTCTGGAGGCTGGGGACAGCAAAAAAGTCACTTCCTGTCCAACCAGAAGTTGGGAAACGGGCCATTTTGGGCCTCTGAGGGGGTGGGGAAGGCTGTTTTCGCCCTCCCCAGATGCATAGAGAGGATCTGGAGCCAGGTGAGAAAGAAAAACGGGCCTACCGGGCCATCGTGTGCTAGGAGCGGGGGGAAGGGGAGGTCGCATGCACGGGGCGGGGTGCATAGAATTATGGGTGTGGGCACACGTGCACGCGAACCTCCCCCGCCCTCCCCCTTTCCTGGCACGCGATGGCAAAAAGGTTAGCCATCACTGTCCTAGAATATTACATTTTTCTAGGAGAGAGGTGGCTGCTAACTTCCTACAGTATCAGCCCTTCAATGTAAATCAGGCTTAGAAGTCAATGCCACATAAATCTGTACTTCTTTAACTGTACAGTAATAGTAACAAAATCTTACAAGACTTAATGTGCTTCCCCTCTCCCCTCCATCGTTGTATGAACTAGGCAGGGACCTAAGACATTTACACATATATTCTTGTCTCAGGTTCTCTTTAACTGTCCATTGCATTGGTAGTAGCTCTTATTTCTGTCCCTATGCCTAGAAAGAAATAAAAATGTTGTCTAAATATGCAGCAGATCAGAATGCCCAAAAATACCTTGTTCATGAAATATCAAGAGTCAATTTGAAAAACTCAAAATCATTGCTATATGTTCAAATCTCCCCAACTTGTGTCAAAGGCTATTAAATATTAATATACGTCCTTTCTCCAAGTTAAATTGTAAGGTCCCTCCTCAAATCCAATTTAATAAACCCAATTTTAAATTTTTAAAAAACCAACTTTTTTGTTTTAGTTTTTTCAGATCAAAGTGAGTAGGGATCTTTAAAAGTGACAGAGTTCAACAATTTTAATTAATGAACGACTTTCTAAGAACCGTTATTTTTTATTGACAAAAGCATGAAAATGCAGATGCAGGAGATGGCAGAAGTCTACAAGATTCTTGATTTTGTATGTATGATACTTTGCAGCTGATTTGTGCAACAAAGTTTAGCAGAGCAAGATAGTACAAAGTACCTTAAATTGCTAGAATACAAACATAAACTGCAGTAATGCATTGGTATTCACATTTTTTTGTTTATTTTGTGGTATTGTGAATGCTTTTATTTCTGTAAAATAATCTGCAAGAATTATGTACCTAAAGCACTTTAAAACTCAAATTAACCAAGGGAACAGCTGTGGTATTTTATAACAAAGAAAAGAACTTATTAGCTCCAAGCTGCAAAGGTTCAACCACAGAAATCATACAAAAGGGGAAAAGGGGAATGACCATAGAAGAGGTATAAAATCTCTTCTCATCCCCATGCATCTTAGCTGTTCCAATTTTCTATAGATACAGTATTGAAGTAATTCAGCTAAATTATCTGTGGTGCCTTGAATGATGCCATCTCTCAGTTCATTAAACACAGAAATAATCATCTAATCCAGGAGTGTCAAACTGGCAGCCTGCGGGCCAGATGCATCACACACAGACCACACCCAGCCCAGCTCCGCAAAGTGGAAACCATCAAGATACGTCACATGATGGCAACATGACACCACGAGTTTGACACCTGTGATCTAATCTAAAGCTAATCCATTCCTGGAATACAATTGAAACTATAATGAACTCTTGCATGTTCCTTGGTGCAATCTGTAAATTTTCCAATTATCAGATGTTCTGGCAGTCTTCAAAAGCTTTGTTTAAACCTCTACATAAAATAGGTGAAGTTTTGGATACTTCAATCATGAATTCATTGGTGCCTATGATAGGTACTGCTTATAAGTATGAAGAATCCAAGAACATCACTCAAATACAACCTGTGAAAAACTCAGTTGGTTTCAGTGAAAAGTATAATTCACAATGAATGTTGGAAGGCTTAAAAACATCTGGAGAGCCATCCTATCTGTCTGTTAGGTAGGAGTGAAATAGTATGGTCAGTGAAGTAGGAACAAATGATGAATCCTGGTGCCCCGTCAGTTGCTCATTTTGGTCAAATTGAGTATCATTTTAATAATTGTAAATTCATCAATCTGCCCATTTATTAGTTGATGAGGAAAAAATAAAGTATTGGTTTAGAGCCATTTTGGTTTAGGCATCAGGTGAGAAATTAGGAGACTGAGTTCCAGTCTAGGCATGATGCTAGCTGGGTGACCTTGGGCCAGTCATTTTCTTTCAGCTGTCTATGAATGAGACAATGACAAACCACTACTGAATAACCTTGTAAAGAAATCTGCAGAGACTAGTGCAAACAGTCCCTGGGAGTCAAAAACTACCTCAAATACACTCATGCACAAAGTGGTTTCCAGTGGGTGAGCTAGAACACAGAAAAAGTAGTTTCCGTTGTCAAGGAAGAATTGCCAAGATAAATGACAAGTGCTCTGGAGTCTCTTACAGCCAAGAAAACTAAATTTTACAACCTCATTAAACAAATTGATTGAAAGGGGGAAAGGAGATTAGGTCGCAGAATTCTTGGCAGCTGGATACTATACATTTATCTTAACCATTTATTTCTAAATTCTTTAGAAGCAGGATTCCTTGATTCTTTTGCTAAACCCCTGTTGATGCAATGGTGAGGGGTGTGTCCACTTTCAGGTTTCATGTAGTTTGGCAGGTGATCATAGCAGTTTACTCAAAGCTAAGTAGCTAAATGACAAACAAGCAAAAGAGCACAAAGTCAGAATCTCTTGCAGATAAAGCTTGCCCAAGTAGTTTCACTTTCCACAGGAATATAGCAATAGCACTTAGATTTGTATACCGCTTCATAGTCCTTTATAGCCCTCTCTAAGTGGTTTACAGAGTCAGAATATTGCTCCCAACAATTTGGGGTCTCATTTTACCGACCTCGGAAAGATGGAAGGGTGAGTCAACCTTGAGCCTGGTGAGATTTGATCTGACAAACTGCTGACAGCTGGTGATCAGCAGAAGTAGAATGCAGTACATTCTAACCACTGTGCCACCACGGCTCCTATGCAGAAGAATAGTTAAAATACAATCCGAATCAAACCAGATTAATCAACCTGTTGAAAGGTCAGAGGGTAAAGGTTTCTTGTACAAACAGAATATACAGGAACAATATACCAAACCAAAGAAATTGGACGGTTGCTTCCAACAGAGAAATATGGGCCAGGACTGCCTCTTAAATGATGCTGCAACCAGTTAAGTTCAGTTAAGGTGGTCAGTTCCTTGCTTGGCAAAAGTGCCACATTAAGTGCCTTTGCTCTACTCTCCTGCTCTACTCATCGAACTTGAAGGCTGTACACCATCTTCTGACTTCTCCAGCTATTCTAATGGTTCCTGTATTTGATCAGCCTCAGGTGATTTCTGTCTTGGTGTCTTCTGAGCCTGACTGGTTCAGCTGGAGCAGTTTCATCAGAATCCGATTCAAATGAGTCCTGGGCCATGTCAGGTAGTAACTACTCATTTCCTTCATAAAGGAGGAATGTGCAGAAGTTCTGAATCTGTAATATTACACAAAGTACAATTCTCTTTCCTAGGCCCTGAGAAGTCCATTTCTCTAGAATTTTTAAAGGAGGGGAACAAAAAAGATGAGCTATGATAAGAGACGTGCTCAAAAAAGTAACTGAAAATGATTGAAATTGATAAGGAAGTCTTTGTCTCACTTTTCTCCATTTTCTCTTCTCTGAAAAAAAGAAAGTAAGAATAGAGAAGACCCCATTCTTCCACTGACTGATATAGGTTTATGTCCCATTCTCACTTAGAAAGTTTGATCAATTTTAGGTGCATTTTATCATGGAGCAGAAGATGGTACAGAACAACTGGTCTCAAGAGCATCCTTGGGTGGAACAGGTCAAAATTTTGAGATGGTGACGATAGCTGCAAAATTACAGCTGTTCTTTTTTATATGTATCACATGATGCATGTTAAAAAATGTCAAATTTTAATTGCACTGTTAAGGTTGCCATCTTGAGGTTTTTTTTAACTACCCCTCCCTGTGAATAACCATGGTTGATCCTTGGTAAATGCTGTAGCAGTGAACTAATTTGCAAATTCAAGAGGCCATTAATAGATATGGTTCAAGATGGTGTCACTGATGGCAGCCTTGGTGAAATGCTCTCTAATAGTTTGATGTTTCTATTATTTTCTATGACTTGCTGCAGATTACATATGATTAAATTACTTTGTATGTTCACTGAGAACTTATGCACCAGAGACAAATTCCTTGTGTGTCCAATCATACTTGGCCAATAAAGTGTTCTATATTCTGTTCTACTCTACTCTACTCTACTCTACTCTACTCTATTCCTTCAAGTGATTCTCTATAGCCACCTTGAGCCTGGTGAGATTCGAACTTACAGTAATTGCAGACAGCTGGTGTTAATCACAATGCTATCAGTCTGCTGAGCCACCAGGCTCAGTGTTATTCCCGTTATTAGCCCTTTCCCTGTGTTAGCCCATTATTCTCAATGCAAAACATACTTAAGGAGTATACATGCATAATATTTCTGGTACCTGCGGAGTGTTCACATTAAAGCTATCATGGGTGTGTCACCAAGCGTCAGATGTGACCTAACTTGGGAAAAAATAAAGAGTTCTGTTTTTTCCTCTTCCCATATGAGTTCATGAGTTTTCTTCATTGCCAAACTGGCTCTGCTTGAACACTGACAAATAAAGATCAGCACTGGCCATTTGTCAAATTGCAAGCAGATCAAGATGTGTGGTTAATGTCTTCATTCTGCTGCTAGCTAAACTTTATTTTCCTGCTGTCACCATTTGGCAAGATGTTTCAGAACTTTACACCGGATTATGAAAGGTAAGTAATACTATATTCATTTGATGATTAAGTGATTTTGGATCCAAAGCATAGCCTGACTTATCCCTGCCAGAAAATGTTCCTTTTGGTCTGTTCTTGCACCACACCTTCTTACACATTTTTCTATTCTTGCACAATCTTCATGTATTATTTCTGCTATTGCAGATATTTACCTATGATTTTTTTTCTTATCTTTTACATTGGTGTGTGCATTAACAAAATAGTAAGTACAGAATTTCAGACACCTGTAATATAATGTCTTACATTTATAAAGATCTATTTTTCTGAGAAGAAAGATTGCCACACCATCAGATAATGTGAGTCCTTCAAAGCAGGTTATAAAAGGAGAAGAATACAAGGAGGGAGACAATTGTGCAAAATAAGAAATATCAGCTCTGTTTCTTTTCATTGTGTTTCATTGTTCAGTCTTGTTCAACTCCTGGGTGTGTGCACGCCTGATCTATGGCGAACCAGTAGCAACCGATCACTGCAGTGAATCAGTGGTGGGATTCAGCCAGTTCGCACCACTTCGGGAGAACCGGTTGTTAAATTTCTGAGCAGTTTGGTGAACTGGTTGTTGGAAGAAATCATTAGGGCAGAGAACCGGTTGTTAAATTAGTTGAATCCCACCACTGCAGTGAATGTATAAACTCATCTCATGAGCCATTTACCTTTTTAAAAATGTTATTTAATTTATTTCACTTTTCTTAAACTGCACTTCAGAAATCTGTATATGCATGCATTCACATCCCAAATAAGTGCATTAGTTCTTTGTTGCAAGGACATTCTGCCTTTTGTTATGAGCATCAAAGCTGACTTACATGAGGCTTCCTACATTTCATTCTCACAGCTATTTGTGAGATGAGGTGAGGCTGAGAAAGGGACAGACTAGTCCCTTGGCTTCCAATGAGCCACAAGGCTGAGTGGAAAAACTTGAAGTGGAAACCTCCCAGTCCTTCAACCAGTTCCTTGTTTGGTGATTCTTTTCACCAGGAAGTAATTTAGAAAAGCCAGATCAGGAGTCAGAAAGAAAAATGCTTGAACCGAGATGCTAGAATTCTAAGAAGCTCAGGAAAAAGTTATTTTTTCCGCTTTCCCTGTTTTTCTGTTACCTAAAAGCCAATACCAAAGTCAGACCACTAGATAAAGAGCCAGCATACCAAAACAATAATTAAAGAGAGGGAACAAGTAAGATGGTTAAGAACTGTTTCAAAACCCACTCTGTTTATAAATTTATCTATATAGATATCTACTGCAGGGGTGAGTTCTACTTATCTTTACCACCGGTTCGCAACGAGCACGCGCACATGCTTGCTTCACTCGCGCACGTGTGCACTTCTGCGCATGCACAGATTATCAATTATGACATCCGGGTGGGTGGGCGGAGCCTCCCACCGCTTTTACTACCAGTTCTAAAAATCCAGACAGAACCAGGAGCAACCCACCACTGATCTACTGGCTGGTTTAACTAAGGCCACTGTATAAGTAGACTTAAGCATTAATTATTTCCAGGAAAAACACTGTAATTATAATCATAATTTTAGTTCGTAGAAGTAGTTTAGTTTAGTTCATAGAAATAGTTGTAAGTATGTGTCTGCATACATGCCTATCCTTTCCCCATTATTCCACCCATTATATCTACTATGGAAATCAGCCACAATTTGCCATTAGAAATCATACAAGTCCAACCATTGGAGCCCTGCCTGCCCCACCTAGCTAGTAAAAACAGTCAGAGAAGTAACTGGAGTTGACTCCAGGATACAGTCACCCTTTTGGGGAACAAGGAGAGGTTTCAATGCCTTTGATATTCCAAAGTTCCTGGCAGCAGTTCTTGAGGAATTTAGTGAGGGTCTTTCTCAGCCCTGTTCAGAGATTCTATGTCTCTGAATTTCAGTGTTAAGTAATCAAATAATGACCATTTACATAAAGGAGATTTGCCCCGCCTATATAACTCAATGCAACATTAGTCTTTCTAATTTACCATCAGAATTGCATTAGAATTATGGATATTGATTTGCATAATAATTTAGAGGAATATAAGGAAATATGTTCACTGCAGATGTAGGCATTATTATTCCATCTACTAAGTATGTTACTTAAATATGTTTTCTTGATTTTCATTTTTTTCCTCCTCAAATGCTTTCACTCCTTCTGTTAAAATTCCCAGTGTCACTCCAAATTTAGAGATTAGTCTCCTGTGATAAGGAGATTCCCAGATTGAGGGTTGTCAGAATCCCTACAGAATCTTTGAATATTGCCCTTCATTTTGGGGTCACGGGTTTCTCATCTTAGAAACATTTCTCAGCTAAGGTTTTGAAAAAATTAGAAATGAAAGAATCTTTTTCCTTTTTTGGGCTGATCAGCAAAGGCACATATGCCTGCCATCAAACCCAGGGCTCTCCCTTATTGGGAGATATAATGTACGTTTCAGTAGATCACATGAATTTTTATGACAGATGGAATTGCTATTTGGGCCTTGAAGATCAGGCAAATATTTCAGCAACAGCTGGACTGAAATGCCCTTGCCAAACCTGTATCATATGGGTAGGTAGGCGATTTCTAGGGAAGGAGAAAATGTCCACAACATTTTCAAGCTTACATTAATGGCACAATTTTTTTTAAAATGGAAGGTATTCCTTCATGTTGCCTTATTTTGGGATTTAGTTGAAACCTAGTAAATCTGGAAGACTATACTTTGTTTCCCCGAAAATAAAACATCCCCCCAAAATAAGATCTCCTCGAAAATAAGACCTCCCCAAAAATATTTAAACCCGTGTGCAGCCGGTCTCTGCCATTTCCTCTGGTTAGGGTTAGGGAGACAGAGCTGGAAATCAGGTAAGATGGTAAGAGGATCCCCGTCTTGTTCCATGCGCCCCAAAATAATAAGACCTCCCCAAAAATAAGGCCAGGCACTTATTTTGGGGTTCAAAAAATATAAGACAGGGTCTTATTTTTGGGGAAACACAGTAGATTTCTAGAAAGGTGATGTACAGGACATACAACCATGCTGTTGACTACTTAATAACTAAGTAGCCCTATCTGCATGTCACAACTCAGTTGAGGGAGGGATAGTGTCTACTGATATCACCTACATCCAACCAGATGTGGGATTTGTGTTAGGGTCAGTTTTAACATCAAACAACACTAGATTTGTCTTGAGTAGAACTAGCCTTTCATGATTAGGCAGATCCTGCAAAAATTTCAGAGAAGATTCACTTTCAACAATGTTAAGGTGCCTCTGAACCAGCTGGGCTACTGGATTTTTGTTTCAGAGAGTTCAAAGTCCCAGGTTACCACCTACCTTTCTGCAAAGAATTCTTTGTTTTGAGTGGCACACCCAAGGCCATCTGCTTCCTGGTCTTGGACTATTTACTCCAGCTCACAGCAAGCTGAAGCAGTTGTGTCTTGCAAACACAGATAACCAGTTTAAGAACATCTCACTCTGCTCATGAGAATTGTTTGAAACTCTCTTCTTGCTTGAAAGATTAGCTGTAAAATAGAACGAGAACTCAGAGAAGAAAATGCATGGGAATTTTTCTGTCCCATGTGTATTTCAGGAGAAAAAAAATGCATTTAGTGCAACTGAGATGAGAGTTGTTAAGAAAACAAAGAACAAGATATTCCACATGGGCTGACAGTGTAAGAAAGAACAAAAAAGGGAATAGGGAAGAAAGAGAAACACACACATTTAGGTGCCAAGAGGAGCCAAAAGTAGTGTGCTTGTAGCTTTGTTTCCCTTTGTTCAGCTGTCAGCTGCAAATAGCTGCATCCAAATACAGAGTACAGTTTGGTGGAGATACAAATAAGGCCATCTGTTTTCTTTCTGCAGAACTTAAATTGGCTCATGGTCGAACTACTACATTTCACAGAACTTGTTAAAATTGGAAAGCAAAAAGAAGAAAAGCGCAGGTAGATGGAGTGAATGCACATGCTGCAAATATTAAGGGAAAAAGACTGCTTGACTAAAAACTTCACAAACAATTTATTTGCTAAAGCGTGGAAGTATTTCACTATATCTATTCATGTAAAGTGCTGACAGGAATGTTGTAGGGAATCAAGAAGTCTGTCTTGTTATATGGCTCTTTCCAAATCCTTTTACAACAGGTGTCAAACTTGATTCATTGAGGGCCGCATGAGGGTTGTGTTTTACCTTGGGGGGGAGGATTGAGGGGGAGGCATGGCCAGCTCAATGTCACTCATGTCTGGGGCACCTGTGGTGGCCCAAGCGGCCCCACAGGCTCCATTTTCTCTGGCAGAAGCACTGCAGGCTAGTCCGCTGTTTCCAGGGCCACCCAGCGGGCCAGATCTAAGCAACTCGTGGGCTGGATCTGGCCAATGGGCCTTGAGTTTGACACCCCCTGCAATACGAAGTTCAACAGTCTTATTAATAGCGGGATTCTTTCTATTTTTACAGAGAAGAAAAGAATACTGGCCACTCCATACATGCCTTGATCACAGAGACTACTTCTACTGCTCATGCAGCCAAGGGAAATGAGACCCAATATTTATTCCAAGAAGAGAAGACTCTGTTGATATTGTTATATATTACTCTACCTTTCTTTTTTTTGGGACTTTTCAGCAATGGAGCTGTTATTTGGTTTCTCTGCTGTAGAATCAAAAAGACTAAATACACAGTATATGTACTGAATTTAGCCGTTGCTGATTTCAGTCTCCTCTTCTGTCACATCGTATACGTTTTAATCAGTCTAGTTGCATGGGATGACTCTGTTTGGATGTCGCATTTTCTTTTAGCATTTGATATCTTGAATTATTTGGGATACAATACCAGTTTTTTCCTATTGACAGCAATTAGTGTGGAGAGGTATATGGGTGCTTTTTTCCCTTTCTGCTATCGTTTTAAACGGCCAAAGCATCTTTCTACCATACTGTGCGCTGTCCTGTGGGCCCTCTCCTGTATCATGATGGGAATAGATTATTTATGTTGGCAGGAATACATGTATTACATAGGTATTTATCCTGCAAATACAATCGTTACCACTGTTCTCATGCTATTTTTGCCAGTTATGGTCTTTTGTAGCTGCAGTCTGTTTATCAAAATATCTAGATACCCAAAGTCAAAATCTCCAGCTCGCTTTTATCGTACTGTTTTTATCACAGTCATTCTGTTTCTTATCTTTGCTGTGCCTCACAAGATCCTTTGTCTGATGGAATACACCCAGCCAATGGTGGACATAAAGTGGACGATCATCCGTAGCTTTTCCTTGCTTAATTTAATCAACAGCAGCCTCAATCCTTTTGTTTACTTTTTTGTTGGAAGACAGAAGCAGCAGCATTCCAAGGAACCCTTGCATGTAGTGATCTATAGGTCCTGCAATGATGAAATCCTGGATCATATAAGCAGTGAACAAGTGGCATGAACACCCATTCTCACTAAAAGCAGCTTTCTACAGATCTGTTTGATGAAAGGTGATTGATTCATTCAAAAGGCTGCTTATGAAGTCAGTTCTCTAACACGTTCCAGGATGATGATTTGCCAGGGTGGATTTCCATATCTCTTAACCACGCCACCTCTGTACCTGAGGCCTGTTTTTTTCCCCCATTTTCTTGCCTTTACTAGGATATATAATTTTACTTTGCTTGGCTTTTTAGATAGTCAACCATTATTGTTTGCACCTGATAATAGAGCCTTTCTCAATAACCTTGATTATATACTTTTTTTGGCAAATTAAGAAGTCTCTTGGCTCTTCGGATATCCAGTTTTCTTCAATATGCAATGAGGCATGGGCCAACGCTCTAATTATATCCATGTGGAAACTTCTTTTGCATTGTGCCATTTATTTTGGCTTGTTTGTTTCTTGTAGAACTACTTTATACATGTCCCTGTTCTTCATATTATTGCAAAGAAAATGGAGCTGACATGTTGAAAACAGAAAAATAACAGTTTGCAATAAGCTTTAACCAGGTTCTCCTACTTTAGAGATGGAGAACGTACTCTCTCTTCACTTCCAATGTTGCTTAAAGTAATGGCATTTGTGGCATTAGAGGTATGTATGGAGGCTGATTTCCTTAAGAGGACAACATTTTATTTCCTAGGACAGAAGAAAATAATACCTGAACACGCTTAGGCATGTCTGCAGAAGATCACAAAATTAGGGAACAATGGAAGTGTGTGGGGAACAATTACAGATGGAATGAATGGAGATGTGATATACGCTCAATGTGTCTCATACTCAAATATAATATCCTAGGATATAATATGTAATGATCATGTTGACTTCCTATTTTTTGCTTCCTGCAATACCCCCTATATCCATGATGGTGAGCCTATGGCACATATCGGTGGGCACGCGAGCTCAGCTCCGGCATGCATGCGTGCGCCGGCCAGCTGATTTTCAGGCCTTCTGGGAGGGAGACCGTTTCGGGCCTTCTGGGGGGGAGACTGTTTTTGCCATCCCCAGGCTCTTAGAAAGGCTCTGGAGCCTGGGGAGAACGAAAAACTGCCCTACTGGGCCCACCGGGCCATCGCGTGCCAAAAGCGGGGGGAGCACATGGGGGGGCGCATAGAATTATGGATGTAGGCATGCATGCATGTGACCCCACCACGCTCCCTCCACTTTTGGCACATAAATAAGCACAGGTATAACTTTTCTTCATTGACAATGCACCTTTTTCTTTGATCGTTATGCCTGAACTCGGGGAAATATAAAATGCCTCCTTTCCACCCTATGGGTTCAGCCATGCCACTATACCCCTTTAGTCCAACATTATCCTATCAAAGGATCAAGATCCATATAATCTGAAAGCAAGCATCTTTCCCACTAGTCACTCTCCAGCCCTTGCTTGCCACCACCACTTCTTTCTCAGCACTGTTTTCTTCAGTTTCTTCCTTGCTGATTTTAAAGATATCATTTCCATGATTCCAGCCAGATGTAGAAGAGGAAACTAGAACTGCATTATATGATTCAGAGAAGAAGAAAAGGACATTTTTCTACAGCTCTAAAAGGCCAGTGAGATATCTGCTGCAACTCTACTTTTGTTTATAATCTCCTGAAAACAATGGGGATGTCAATCTGGGTTTATCTTGTTTATTAGCCGGTTTACCTAGACATGTCTGTTTTTGATTATCTTTGTTGCTGGTGAAGAAAGCATAGTGGCAGTGTGGAATATCATTGTTATTTTGAGGAGTTTAGTGACATATTTCTTCTTCACATTAAGAAAAGTCTAGAAGTTTAGAGCTCATTCTGAGCTTAACCTGCTTGTTTTTTACTCTTGTTTACTGAATAAGGGGGGGGGGGAGAGAGAACTTTCATATAGTTGCAAACCATTCCTATTGTGAAAGTCTCAGACTTTATATTCCTATCCTAGAGTTATGTTATCCTAGTCAAGGCCGGGTCTTGTAGTCTCATGACCACAACAGAGCCATGAAGTCATGGTGCCAAATTTTGATTAAAAGGTTGGGGTTGTTGTTTGTTGGGAGCATCTTCATAGAACCTAGCACTGAGTACTGTGGAAACTGACTGCCCTTAGGGTATCTCTGCTGTCATTATTAAGGAGCTCCTGGCAGCTTGTAAGAGATTTGGGTATCATGGTATGCCGTATGTATGCTTTTTACATTACGCTTTTAAATTTGTTTGCCTGAGCTAATAATAAAGTTTAAAATCCCTTTATTTACTGGAGTGTGTATTGCTTTTGAATCCAAAAGAACCAATTGCCTGGGCACCTGATCACTGCCCTGACACCTGGCAAAACAGTAAGAGATGTGATTGTCCAACAGCCAATTTGTTTCTGTTATTCAGCTCTGCAGGACCTTGTTAGCTGCACAATGGGTGGCAGGGGACATCTTTGAGATTATTTCTTTCCTGGTGTTATATTTCAGTGTTTGAATTATTATAAATTTGGTGTTGCTTAATTTAATATTTCTTTTGTGGATAAACAACATCTATGTGTATATGGGCATTTTCTTCTCATATATTTCTTCATTGCATAATTTTATCCACTGGGCAGATACTCTCAAAGAGAGGAAGTTCTTCAAATGTCCTGGCTTTAAAGATGATGATTAGCACCTTGAATTCTACCCAGAAAAAAACTGGAAGCCAATTCAGCTCACATAGCAATGGTATACTATTGGCAAACTGAGGGGGTGTCTATTACCATGCAAAATGCTATATTCTGGACCAACTGTAATTTCTAGGTGGTCTTCAAAGATAGTCTCATGCAGAACACATTGCAATAGTCACACCTGAAAGTGACCAAGGTTTGAGTGATCCTAGGCAGGGCATCCCAATCCACAAATGAGTGTGATTGAGACACAATATGTATCTGTGCAAAGGGTCCCTAGACACAGCTGCCAGCTGCTTCTTGAGCAGGAGCCACAAATCCAGGGAGTTCCTCAAATTGTACATCAATTCTGCCAAGAGTCAAAAACAAAAATAATTGAACACAGTTGGTTAGTGAAGGGGGCTTTTCACCACTGTATTCCAGCCTGACAGACTCACCTCTTCCCTAAAATAGATATTAGCCCCCTCATGCACCCAACCATATGTCACTTTCTCAGAGGTCTTAACCAGCCAGGAGGGGCATGGGTCCAGAACACAGGCTACTGAGCTCACAGCTAAGTTAATGTGAACATGTGCTGCCAGAATCACTAGTAGGGTAATTCAACTTGGTTAGTGGCTGATGATTTAAACACGTTGGGCAAGGCTGTCAAACCCACGGGCCGGATGTATCATACGCTGGCCACGCCCACACCCAGTTTAGCAAAGGGGGGAGAAAGTCCTGATACATCATGTGACAATGCTGTGACAACGCGAGTTTGACACTCCTAACGTTTGGGGTATAAGTCCTCTATGGGGCCATTTTTGCTACTCTCCATGCACAACACCTACTACATTAGCTTGCTATTCTAATTTCTAGAAGTAGGAATGAGGTGGGGAGGAGTGCAAGTGACATTACATGCAGCATGAGGATATCAAACACATGATATTATACCAAATGTCAACCCATCAAGGTGGGGCAAGTCAAGAAACAACAGATGGTATAAAGTCTACTATTGCTATAAGTTACAATTAAAGAATCTTGAAAGCCTTTTAGAGTTTTCTTCTATTTCCTCTTATACGTACAGAATCAAGGCAGAGTTATCTTGTGGGGGCTTTTTTCTCACTCCTCATCCCTTCTCTGGCTAATTGTTAATATAAATGGATTTAGCCATTAAAACAGCACAATTTTCATCAAAGACAGAGAAAAGTACAAACTCTTCATGATCTAAAGTGAGACCATTTGGGTAGCCTGAATTTGAGCCCATAATAAACTTGAAATTATACTTTATACTTCATTAAATAAAATTAGGCTGAGAACCACTTTGATGTAATGGCTTAAGGCATCAGCTTAGAAACCAGAACACCATGGATTCTAGTCCTGCCTTAGGCACAAAACCAGTTGAGTGACCTTGGGCCAGTGACTTTCTATTAGCCCTAAAAAGGATGCAATTGCAAGCACTTCTGAAAAAACGTGCCAAGAAAATTGTAAGAATTGATCCAGGCAATCTCCAAGAATTGGACATGATTGAACAGAAGAAAAATAAAATAGGCTAATGGGTTATGAACCAATGAGAATTCTAAACTATGGTAAAAATAGGCATGCCTGCAAGGGGAAGGTACAGTATAAGAAAGTCACAACTGGCCACTTTTATTATTTTGGACCATCCATCACCACCACCATATAGGCAGTCTTATCAGTTTCCTTTACAAAGTGGGGATGATTAAAATTTAATGGAGTAACACTTCTAGCCATGACTTCATTCTGGCATCTAGCAATATTGCTGGATTCTGGATATTTCTCAGCTATAAATATGATCCTCTGTACATAGTACGACGCCATCCAGAATAGACATATTGGCCATCTATGGGTTTGTAGGGTTAATTTATTCCTACCTTGAGTCTCACATTATTCACTTCCACCAATGAAATCAAATCCAAATTCATAAAAGAAGCAACCCATTTAAAGTGAAGAATTCAAAGAGAGTAGATTGCTACAGAATCTTCCCAGCTGGAAGGAGCAGAATCACTGCCATTTCATGATCCTGTTTTCATGCTATCCAAGCCATCCCAGCAGAAACTCACGGCTGATGACTTCAAAAGTTACTGAAAAAATGAGGACTGTCAACAAGAAAACGAATGCTCTTTTTGTCTCTAACAGTATCTGTCAGATTGATCGCATGAGACTTCAGGCCAAAAATCATGAAGTTAGATCTCAATCGATATGAAGGACAATGACTCTGTGAACTTTGCAACACAGCAGCTAACAGTTTCTATGAGGTCATGAAAATATCATCTTCTGTTTATTACATAGGACACCCATTATCATGTTGCAGTTGGCCATACCTTTGCAACAAGCAATAAAGCTTCATATGAAGGCAGAAGCATAATCAGACAAGACTGAAAGGGAAGCAGAGAGTAATAATGGTAGTATTTAGTTTTCTACTTAGCTGCTTTTCTTACCAAACGGATAACGGTGTTGTTATTGTCATTGGTCACATCACATTGGTTTTATTATATTAACTTTCTATCATGGATAAAGACTAACATGATTGAACATATGATTCACTGAGATGAAAGGGGTGAAAATCTTATTTTCATCTATGACAAACTGATATGTTTTGAATGTATTGAGTGATACATAATTGAGAGGCTCTTCCTTGATTAAGTCACAAGTTCCCAAACAACCAATTAAATATATAGTAGATGGGTCCCTCGATTTAGTCATCCAGCCAGAAAAAAATAGAACTGGTACCAATCAAATATACATGCCTTCTGGAATAGAGTTGACTTCTTAATACAGAGGGAATCTGCAGGACTGTGAACAGACCATCTTCTAATGACTGTGTCACAGATTGTTGAACAAGCCCAAATGAAGCAAGAGGCAGCATTTCAGAGAACAAAATATTTACAAGTATGTTTGACCATTTTTGTTTGTTTGTTTTCCCTCCTTTCTAGTAGCTCTTGTCTTTTGCCTCTGTAGAAATCAGAGACAAATTATCCATGAAGCATCCAAGCATCCTGGAATACTAACATCAAATATATATTCATTACAGAACACACAGCATCTTAGGTCTCTGTTTAACTGGTCATAATTCTAATTCTCTCTCCCACCTTTGCCCCTGGTACAACTAAAAGCTGTACCTCTGTTGTAGCTCTCTCTAGAAGGCTAAAAGGGAGGCACAGGAGAAACTGTCAAGGCAAGGAGAAACTAGAAAATAATCTGCCCCTGCCTATTATCAGGAATCTCCATTGGATTACAGATATTTCCACAAATGACAATTAATCTTCCATGTAAGTGAAGTATTCCAGTTATTATCAATTGTATATCTGAATTGATGTGTTCTTTGCCTCATAAATTCTTATTAAGGTGAAAATGTCGTAAATCCCTGTTCGCTGTTTGCTAGTCACGTGTCCTATTTAATTCCCAAATAACTGAAATATAGTTTATTATCAAATACTGCAGCTACAGATGTCAAAATGGTATCACCTGATAGAAACTGGGCTGGTACCAAATTCTATCCCGCTTGAATTTAGAAAGATTCTTTTAATAGAAAAAAAATGCAGAATGAAAGCTGATGCCGGCCTCTAGTAGCGTATTTCGCAAACTTAGCAACTTTAAGACATGTGGACTTCAACTCCTAGAATTGCTGGCCAAGCAACGCATTTGCTCCCAAAATCCCAGAAAGTTTGCCCACCCCTGGATTAAATTACTTGAAAAATAACTTTTCTATATAAATGCCTGACTGGGCATTAAGGCCTTTAGGAGGTGTCTTTCCAACAGGGAACCTTTTTAGTAGCTTTTCAGATTTGGCAACATCTTCCTCAGGGACATCAGACTAGCTCTATTCTCCCTCTCTAGTCATGCAAAAATCTTTTTATTTGGATCTGTGGTGTTCTGTATTTTTTATAGTTTTGTTTGTTTGTTTGTTTAATATATTTTAATGGAGTAGTTTGGTGTAGTGTTTAAGACACAGACTGGAAAACAGAAGACTATGAGTTCTAGTCCCACCTTAGCAGTAGTGAAATTCAAATTTTTTTACTACCAGTTCTGTGGGTGTGGCTTGGTGGGCATGGTGTGGCTTGGTGGGCATGGCTTAGTGGGCATGGCAGGGGAAGGATAGTGCAAAATCTCCATTCCCACCCTACTCCAGGGGAAGGATACTGCAAAATCTCCATTCCCACCCCACTCTGGGGCCAGCCAGAGGTGGTATTTGCCAGTTCTCCGAACTACTCAAAATTTCCGCTGCCGGTTCTCTAAAACCTGTCAGAACCTCCTGGATTTCACCCCTGGACCTTAGGCACAAAGCAAGTTGGATGACCTTGTGCCAGTCTCCCTCTCAGCCCGAGAAGGTAGGCAAGGACAAATTACTTCTGAAATCTTGCCAAGAAAACTGCAGGGACAACTCCTGGCAAAGTCATGGATCATCTATGGTATATCTTACGGCTACATTATAAAGGTCAGACCACTTTTTGTAAGCATCATCTATGTGTCTTCTAAATGAAGATCTCTGACATATGATCTAGTACAAAACATTCAGCCAAAGTAAAATGATGCTCAAGTTAGATTTTTCTGCCCAATCTTGTGGGTGACAATCAAACAAGCATTCCTATCTGAAAAGCTGATTCACTTAAGTTTTCCTACCTACATTCTTTGCCACATCTTACTAATACTTTTTGTGTTTGATTTTGGCAGATTGAAAAGGATCACAAACAGATCACTGCGAGATGGCAGAAACATACTCTCTGTCTTTCCATACTATTGGAGAACATCAATATGCTGGGACAGAACTGGAAACTGGATACGGTTTTCAAAGAGCAATTACGATTATTTCCATTCCAATCTGCATTTTAGGATTATTTGGGAATGCAATTATCTTCTGCCTTCTCTCCTGCTCCATCAGGAAAACTAACTTTACTGTTTATTTCCTAAATTTGGTAGTGGCTGATTTTGTTGTACTCATCTACTACGTTATTGTTTTTGTTTTATTCTTGAAAGCTCTTCCTATCAGTCTGTATTCGTTACATTTAATGGATCTGGCACATACATTTGGGTTCAATGCCAAGACCTATGTGCTAACAGCTATTACTGCTGAAAGGTATGTCATGATTTTTTGTCCAGCCTGGTATCAACTTCGCCGGCCCAAGCATTTCTCAGAAATCATGTGTACCATTTTGTGGGGCTTATCTGGCCTACTGGCCATCACATTATATTGTACTTGCTATATAGAGACTGATGCATTACTCAAGGACACTAATCAGCATTGTGAGTCTACAAAAATGGTCAGAGTAATAATCAACCTCCTCGTTTTTCTTCCCATCATGGTCTTTTCTACATATATTATTTTCACAAGAATGCTGAATGTATCCCAGGAAACTCCTCTGAGAAGACTTGACATCACTATAGTGGCCACTGTTCTTCTGTTTCTTCTCTTTGCTGCTTCAGTGAGGATTATCGAAATCATAGCCCGTTGGGTTCCAAAAATCCATATTCCAATTCTTTTTCTCACTCTTCATTTTCTTGATGCCATTGACAGCAGTGGGAACCCCTACCTCTACCTGATTGTTGGCTATTCAAAGACAAAGCTTGATTCTGAAAAACCTTTCCAAACATTACTTGAGAGATCTTTGTTGGATGATGGAACAACACAAGAGTAGGCAGGAGCTTATTAAAAGAAGATTGTACCGAAGGGATGCTATCAAAAATTATTCCATTGTAACTAGTTATTGCCTTGAGTTCCAGAATAAATAGATTGCATTTATTGTATAAAGTTTGGCTTTGCTCATTACTTCTAATGTATCTACAAGTTTCTAGACCATGCTTATCTTCTTCTATGAACAACACATCTCAAATCTTTAGCCATTATATGCAACCAAGACATTGCCCTTTGGATACATTACTTTTTTTTTTTATTGAAAAAGTTTTACAAATACAAATTTTTCCCCCTTTCTCCCCCCTTTCCCTCCCTAGCCCTCCCTTACCCTCCCCTCCCCCCATGGCTTCCCCAGGGTGAAATCCAGATCCAAATCATATTATATAATACTTTACCGCCCATCTACTCTACCCCCTGTGAAGTATACATTTCTTCCTGACATTCTAGTATACTATCCCCTGTAAACTATACATTTCTATACAACATTCAACTAAAAATTATCTGGTACTTCCTAGTTTAGTATTTATTCTACACATAATCTATCCATGTCCTCCACTCCCTTACATAGATCTCTTGTGTCCGGTCTTTTATGTATGCCGATAACTTCACAATTTCTGCAAAACTGGCCACCTTCAGAGTCCATTCTTCAATAATAAACATAACATCCCTTTCAGGATTAAACAATCAGTAACCTAGCCTATCACCATATACCATATCAATTTTGTTTCACCCACTTTCCCGCAGGTCCGCCATATATAATAATTTATAAAATCTAAACAATCACATCAAGTCCTTCTTCCAACAGTGTATTTAGTGTCTTTAGTTGTCATCTGCCCCCATCATTGAAGAGTACTTTTATATATAACCCCCCCCCGAGTGACTTTATATTTATATTCCATATAATATCTTCTGTAAAGTCTTTCATCTAGATTATTAATTCCATCGACCATGTTAGGGTAACAACCAGATCAACTGCAAATGCCCTTCTTCTGTAGTCCTCTTGCCTCATAGCTATTCCCTTCAACGTACACATAATCCATCTTTCTTAAAATCTATAATAGAAAGTTCCAATTCACTCAATTACAGGCCTTCTCCACATCCTAGAACACCAGCACTGCAGGGTTTTGGATACATTACTTACTTACATTACATTACTTAAAGCTGTGCCTCAAGGCTGCATTAAAAAAAAACCCTGATCTTTGAGCTGCCTTGATGATCTGTCCCTATTCTGGCTTAGTAATGAAGCCAGCAAATGGTACTGCCCTTACCGGTTGAATGCAGATGTTAAGGAAAGCAATTGTTGGATCCCCCTGGTTTATTTCTCGTCTCACCAAACATCACCAAGAAAAACTTCAACCAATGATTCGGCTTAAAGTGGGCTGAGGCAAGAGTTGATTCATATCTAGAACGTTGTGGACAATTTGGACTGTAATAGAGTTGGACTGATTTGTATCAATACGTTTTTGGATTTGGATTTGATTTGATTTAGCAACTTATTATGATTTTAAATCCATACTATAGAGGACTTTAGCTTTGGCACTGAAAAGAGGAGTAAGACTAGTAAAACAATTATTCGATCCCAGGAATGTAGAAAGCTTGATAAAAAGACCAAGAAAAAGACACATCTTGACCTTATTGAGCTTTAAAAGGGGAATTGAAGGTTTTGGATGGTCTTTTAAAATTAAGATACCCTATGCCTGTGATGGCGAACCTATGACACGTGTGCCAGAAGTGGCACGCAGAGCCATCTCTCAAGGGACGCTGAACCATTGCCTGTTGCTCCTCCAGGTTCTGGTGCACTGGCCAGCTGGTTTTCACATGCATGGGCGCACCGGAAACTGGAAGAGCAGCCACCCATTGCACATGCACACTCCAGGAAGATGATCTTCTTGTTTCCAGTGTGTGCATGCATGTCGGCCACTTGGTCTTCTGATTTCTGGCGTGCATGTACGTGCGAAGACCAGCAGTGGCAAGAGCAACAGGCCCACGTGCCAAAAGACACATGAGTAGAGAGCCCAGAGCTTTCGTCCAGGACAGGTGGGCCAGGGTTTCCCTCCCTCCCCATCTGAGCGGGCTTCTTGCATGGCCCCAGAGCCTGCCGCTGCTTTTCCCTTGCCTGGTGGGTCAAGGCACTTGAGCAACCCGGCTGCCTTGTGGTGAGAACGGCATCGCCCCGCCATGCTCGCCCAGCTGACTGCGAGTCTTTTGGCAAGCTTGGCACGCATTGCAAGGCCGGAGGGCAACCGGGTACCAGCCCGTTCCCTGGCGAGACAAAGCATTGGCCGTTCCCTGGCTGGTGGCAGCACTCTTGGCCCCACCACCTCAGCCTCTGAACGCGCAGCCTATGCCACCCTGCCTGGGCTCCTCCCTGCTGGGAGCCACTGTCTGAGCAGGTGCAGCTGGCAGGGCTTTGGCAGACCAGCAGCCGGTGAGGGTTGGGGAACTGGGCTGCCTGTGCAGGTGGACCCTGTGGCCAGCATCAAAGCGGGGCCGAGAAACCCTCTTGGCTTGCTCTGCTCGCTGCGCGGGTCCCCTAGGCTGAGGCGGGGGTCGGGCAGGAGTGCTGCACCACCTGCGGTTGGACCCATTGCCCAACCTCCAACATGCCTGCCGCTGCGCCACCAACCAAGCCAATGCCGGGGAAGGAGCAGAAGGGCGGCTGGCTCGGGCGGGGTGGGAGGGAGCGATTCTTCCACTGCTGCTTCCCTGGCTATGGCAGGAGTAGCGGGCTGAGGCTTCCCTCTCTCCCAGCTGGAGGCTTAGGGCCAGCAAAGTTTGGTGCAGGAGGCTTTCCAGGCCCAAATTGAGATGCGGGGGGGTGTATGTGCAGGGGCACATGCGTGGGGGATGTGCACATGCACAGGGGAGCAGGGGAGGGGGCCATGCGTGCATGCGCAGATGGGGTATGCATTGTATTATGGGTACCGACATGTGCTGTCGCGTGCGCACACACACACTTTTGGCGCGCAAGGACAAAAAGGTTTGCCAACACTGTCCTATGCCATAGTATAGCATTACTGGGATCCCTGGGTCTCTCTTTCTTTACTGGTCTACTTTGAAAGGCTGATTGAACTGATGGCTCAAAGCATTGTTCAAAGAGAAGAGTGTAAGAGAAGAAGAGGCAGAGCCTGGGAACAGAGTCAAGAGAGGAACCAGCCTGGAGTCAGTACGTTTCAACAGTGATCCAAGTCCAGCCTGCCCAACCACGAATTCTGTTAATTCTTAAAGTAAAGGTTCCCCTCGTACATATGTGCCAGTTGTTCCCGACTTTAGGGGACGGTGCTCAACTCCATTTCAAAGCCAAAGAGCCAGCGCTGCCCAAAGATGTCTCCGTGGCAGAGGTGGGTTTCAGCAGATTCTGACCAGTTCTGGAGAACCGGTAGCAGAAATTTTGAAGAGTTCAGAGAACTGGTAGTTAAAATGTTGACTGGCCCCACCCCCATCTATTCTCTGCCTCCCAAGTCCCAGCTGATCGGGAGGAAATGGGGATTTTGCAGTAACCTTCCCCTGCCATGCCCACCAAGCCATGCCACGCCCACCAAGCAGCACCCACAGAGCCAGTAGTAAAATTTTTTGAAACCCACCGCTGCTCCATGGTCATGTGGCCGGCATGACTAAATGCCAAAGGCGCACAGAACACTGTTACCTTCCCACCACAGGTGGTCCCTATTTTTCTACTTGCATTTTTTACCTGCTTTCAAACTGCTAGGTTGGCAGAAGCTGAGACAAGTAATGGGAGCTCACCCGTTACGCAGCACTAAGGATTTGAACCACTGAACTGCCGATTTTTCGATCGACAAGCTCAGCGTCTTAGCCACTGAGCCACTGTGTCCCGGTAATTAATTCTTATTAGCACCAATTTAGTGCTAACCATTATTTGACCAGATTCTTGTGTGTAGGTATGAGCAGTAAATCAACTTAACTGGAGTTTAATGTGTGGTCCTGATTCTTCACACCTGGCAGATTAGGAGTAACTTGCAGAGATTTAGCTCTTTCAGATCCAGTGGATTTCTTGGGAATACTGTAAGTACCTTCTTGCTACAGAAAAGAACAGTGTATTTTTTGAGTGGTAAAAATAGATTGAAGTTAGGTACATATTTTGTGTATATATTTTTTTAAAAAATAATATCACAGCAACTAGCATTAACATCAGTGAAACTCAAATTGTCCATGACAGACTAGGAATGAAAAAGCTAGTCTATCTGCCTGTCTGCTGTTGGCCTTTTCTTCATCTACCAATCTATTGTCAATTAAGCCCTCCTGGAATATAGCATTCTGGCTTTTGCCCTGGTTTCCTATACTGTAGATACAGGATAAAGTTTCCTAACTTACCTATTGTATTTTTCTTTTTTCCATATTTATCAAGTCTTTTTTCTCTTTTGGGCAGAGGCTGGGGGTCTCCCAGTGTGTGGGTCAAGCCTTTTTGCAATTACAGATAGTCCTCCACTTATGACGATAACTGAGCCCAAAATTTATGTTGCTAAGTGAGAAATTTGTTAGGTGAGTTTTGTCCCATTTTTCTTGCCATAGTTGCTCAGTGAATCACTACCGTTGTTAAATTAATAATCCGGTTGTTAAATGTGAATCTGGCTTCCCCATTGACTTTGCTTATCAGAAGGTCACAAAAATTGTTCACATGATCTGGGGACACTGCAACAGTCATAAATATGAACCCGTTGCCAAGCATCCAAATTTTGGTCATGTGACCATGAGGATGCTGCTATGGTCGTAAGTGTGAAAAAGATGGTCATAAGTCACTTTTTCAGTGATGTTATAACTTCAAACTGTCACTAAATGAACTATTGTAAATTGAGGATTACCTGTAAACGCAATGTTAAGATTCCTTAGAGCAAGTTTAAGCCAATATTCATGAAACAGGAACTAAAAAACAAAGCTAAGTATCCTCTGGATTTTTTATTGTCTTCTTTTTATAGAATTACTCAAGGATCGTTGAATTACTTGCAATCTACGTGATAGGATTAAATCACAAAGGGAACAAAAAAAAACAAGAAAAGAGTCATAACCAGTTTCTTTATTTTGTTATCTGAAATTATAATCAATATCTATAAAATGTCTAAATATTGCAACAAAGAGGAATAAGTGGTTCTGGAAAAAATTATGGAAAGGCAAGAGTTAAAATAGCAATTGCTCTGTGTTCACCCTTGTTCCTGAAGCTGGATCACAAAATGGACTAGGATTTGAGAGATTTAGTTCAAGTCCACCCTACCATGGAAACTCACTAGTGAGTTTGGTATCTTTCACCTGGTATTTTTCAGCCAATTTACTCTACAGGGTTGTTTTGAAGATTAATTGGAGGCAAGAGTATTATTTGGAGCAGGGGTAGGCAACTATGAACCCTTTATGATCTGTGGACTTCAACTCTCAGAATTCCTGAGCCAAGATGGCTGAATCAGGAATTCTAGGAGTTGAAGTCCACAGGTCATAAAAGGGCCACAGTTGCTACCCCAATCTAGAGCTTGAACTTCAGGAGGAAAGGTAGGATATTAGTGTAATAATACATTTTTTAGACTAAATAAAGTCTAAAAAGTTTAATGTGTGGTCCTGATTCTTCACACCTGGCAGATTAGGAGTAACTTGATACTCTGCATAGAACAGTGATGCATAGATACACTGCATAGAACAGTGATGGCGAACCTTTTCAGCACCGAGTGCTGAAAAGGTCACACAGAAATGTTGCATGCGCGTGCGCATGCTCATCAGGGCTGCTCTCTGGAAAAACCGAACTTTCAGCTGGCCAGCATACATGTGCAGGCCGGTTTTCAGCATTGCCACGCATGTGAAGGGATCACGCTCCAGAAAAGCCGAACTTCCAGATTTTAGCGTGCATTCACGGCTGACAATCAGCCGGCCGGCACGCATGTGCAGGTCGGTTTTCGGCACTGCCATGCACGTGAACAGATCGTGCTCTAGAAAAATAGAAGTTCTGGGTTCTGGCGCGCATGCGCACCTGACAATCAGCTGGCCGTCGTGCATGCAGACACCGGTTTTTGGCACTGCCATGTGCATGAAGGACAGCAGATCATCGCACGTGCATGCGTGCCAGAAACCCAGAAGACAAACAGGCAAGGCCACTCATGCCGGGGAACATGGCCATGCATGCCACTTTAGGCACGCGTGCCATAGGTTCGCCATTACGGGTATAGAATCAGACAAGAAAGTCCCAGCAAGGAATTCGTATCCCATCTTACTATTAATTTTTGAACATTTTCTGAAACCATGACAAAGTTCAGCTTCATTTATTCTGGTCTATAATCAGTCAGAGCAACATACAAAAATACTGAGACATTATACGGAGACACTTCTATTTTGCACCCTCGTCTTCAGTAAAAAAAAAATTCCACAAATTAATGGAATAATGTAAAAAAAAAAAAAAACACCTGCTCAGAAAGCTAAAATCTTGCCTTTTGGGCCCAGCTAATCTGCCAACTGCCGAAATCTATTGACCTCCAAGCCCCCAGCCAATAAATTAGTGATAACTTTGAAAATGTCATCATAGCGGAAGTGAGAACCACTGTGAGGTCATAAGGTTCTCATGTTCCTTGGCTGCGCTGCAACGTATCAGCAAAGCTGTCCAGACCTTGCTGAGTATCAAGCTTCTGAGAAGAAAATCAGCAAGATAGAAACAAAGTTGAAAAGAAAAAAAAAAAAAGAGAGAGGATTTGTGGAGGTAATTCAAACAATGTCTCTTCATGGGATGACATCCTGGGATGTTTCCCAAGTTCATCCTACTGGAGAATTAGATATTTTACTTATTTATTTATTAAATTTTTATGCCGTCTAGGCCAGAGGTACCCAATCCCTTGTCCACAGCACATTGGGAACTGGTCCAGGCAAGCAGCAGGCAAGTGTGTAATGCTCTATTTATGCATGCATGGGAATAGGTTGTGTGCGCGAAACTATCCCTTCCCCTGTACCACCACAGTTGCTACCTGTCTATGATGCCAGAAAGGTTGGGGACCGCTGCTCTAGGCAGCTTACAATGGCATAAAAGCATAAATATGAAAGCATTCAAAGCATTAAAATTAACAACAATTAAATAAAGGTTAAAGACCAACAGCATGAATGGTACAGGGCAGACCTTTTGACTCTCACTCAACCAACAACCTCCAGTATAGTGCACCCCACTGGGGCCTCAACCCAACCTGCAGAGCCATGTTTATGGTCCTTCCGGAAGGCCAAAAGGATGGAGGTGGATCTCACCTCCAGTGGAAAGATGTTCCAGAGGTTCATGGGCTACGGCAAAGATGGCTTTTCTCCTTGACCCTGCTAGTTGAAATTCCTTGGCCAACGGGAGTCCATTGAAGGGCTCTTCTGATGGAGCAAGTAGAGCAAACTGTCCCACTGGGGTGAGACAGTTTTTTAAATAACCTGGCCCCGTACCGTGAAGGGCTTTAAACATGATAACCAACACCTTGAATTAGACCTGGAAGTAAACCAGCAACCAGTGCAGCTCACATAATAGCGGCTGTTACATGCATCACTTTAACGACATCCAGAACTGTCTGTACAGTTGTAGCTTCTGAATACTCTTCAAGGGTCGCCCCATGTAGAGCATGTTGCAGTAATATGTTGTTTTATTCTTTTATGTTCTATTTTAATTTTATCCTGAGAACACCAAATCAATAAATATAATATGTATATACCAGTAGTGGGTTTCAAATCCTGGCATTACCAGTTTGCTATTGGTAGTGCGTGAGCGCGCAGCACTTCTGTGCATGCGCTGAAGCTTCTGCGCATGCACAAAGCGTTTTTTATGATATCTGGGCGGGTAGGTGGAGCATCCCGCTGCCACTGCTACCAGTTTGCCTGAACCGGGGCAAACCGGGAGCAACCCACCACTGGCATATACGTCTGTGCCTTCTGACCTCTTTCCAAAAGCAAGTCTGGTTTGCAATGACGGAGTTGGGAGTCTCCAAGGCACAGAAACAAGATGGATAACTTGACAGAAAAGATGGCAAAGGATGTACATTCTCTCAGTACATTCCCTCTAGAATAGTCTCTCCTCCAGAAACTCTTGTGCCAGGAAAATTTCCAGAATCATTCTGCCTTTTGCTGGCTTCACAGTTTGAATCTGGAGGCCACTGACTTCTTCTTCCCTGACTTGGATCCTTGTTCCCATCAGGGCCTTGCAATTCCTTCCATCTTAAAACAAGATACAGTGCAAGGTCCCTATTGAATTCTGGCTCTGTTCTTCTTGAGTCGGGGTTGCTGGGTCTAAATGTAAACATTCTCATATAGACGCTTGTTTCCTGAGTGTGGCTGATTTTTCAACATAAATGCTTGCCCCGGGTAATATGGTATCTCGAAGGGCTGGTTTTTGTGCAAGGTTCCCTTTAATTGAATATTAATTGGATTAACATCTTAATTAACATCTGGAAATGTTAGTTGGGAATAACAGAAATAAATGAGGCAATCCTTTAAAGATGCCAGCATCTCCTGTCTTTAAGAAGAAATTAATAGATGGAAAATGGACCATATAGATCCAGTTATCACTAAATCTGTTCAGAATGGGCTGGTGACCAAAATGCATTCTGTATGTATGTATGTTCATAGCATTCTGCACATTGTTGGGAGTAGGTTTTTGGCAAATAGGTTTGACAAAGGACAATACCAGTGTAGCATTTCCAGTGAAATCATCATGCTATTAACAGTGTTACAATACGTAAGTCAAAGGACATTTCCAGAAGACAGAATAACACCCTAGGTCAGGGGTGTCACTCAAGGTGCTTGGATCTGGCCCACGGGACCACCCTGGAAACAGCGAAGGACTGGCCCATGGTGCCTCTTCTGGCAAAAAAAAGAGTTTGGGAGGGCCGCACGTGGCCCCTTGGGCTCCATGTTTGGCTGCGACAGCCTCCTGCAGTCCTCTGCCAGTGAAAACAGAGCTCAGGGGGGCATGCGCAACCCTCCCAGGCCTCATTTTCAGCCATGACAAGCCTCCTGCAGCCCTCTGCCAACAAAAATGGATCCCCCCAGCCCCGGCCAGGTCACCAAAGGTATCCCTGACACGAGTGACGTCCAGCTGGCCATGCCCATCTGGGCTATATCCTCCCAAGGTGAAACACAACTCTGATGCAGCCCTCAATGAAATCGAGTTTGACCCTCCTGCCCTAGGTCCTATTAAAATATCAATATAAACATATCTTCTGATTCCCAGAAAACAGACTGTATGTCAGCATACATTCTAGTTAGCACTTCTTGCCGGTGTGAAATCTGTGTGAAAGAAACACAATGATAACACTAGTATTATTGCCAGACAAGGGAAACTTTTTAGTGTTTCTTACTTCCGTAAAATATGTAAGAGGCTTAATAATGAGAATTGTTTTTAATTTTGACAGATTGAGAAGAATTATTGAACACTGACCATAGCAAGATGATGGAAGCAATTATCTTATCTCCCCACACTATTACAATGAAAACAAATCACACAGAGCCACATATAAGCAGCAAAAGGTTTTTCATGGAAATGGTGGGAGCCTTATCCATTCCAATCTGTTTCTGGGGATTGATTGGGAATGCAGCTGTTTTTTGGCTTCTCTGCCGCAAGGTGAAGAAGACAACATTCATAGTTTATTTTCTCAATTTGATAATAGCCGATTTTATTGTGGCTGCTTACTTCCTTACAGTGTTTTGTGTATTTCTGACATCACTTTTTATCAGTTATTATTTTTTACGTACAATGGAGAGTATTTATTCATTGTCAAGCAATGCCAGCATTTTTTTATTAACAGTTATATGCTTTGAAAGGTATGTCATGGTCTCTTTCCCACTCTATTATCAACAGCACCGTCCAAAGGACTTCACAACGAATATGTGCTGCATAATATGGTTCTGGTCTTTCCTAGTGGCCCTGATGTTATATGTTGGCTGCTACCCACAATTGTTTTCAGTCTCCGCTCCAAGGTCTTCTATATGTCATGGTGCATTACTTTTTGAATCTATTGTTCAGCTTATGGTTTTTTTCCCCATCATGTCCTTTTCTGCTTTCTCTCTTTTTATCAGAAGGCGGAAAAGAGCAAAGCAAAGGACCAAATCAAGACTTGACATCACCCTCATAATCATAGTTGTCCTTTCTCTTATTTGCATTTTTACATTTCAAACTCTTGGTTTTATAAGCAACTGGGTTTATGAACTTCGTGAACCAACTTTATTTAAACTCTCTCTGCTGTTTGACTCCATCAAGAGCAGCATCAACCCTTTGGTCTATTTCTTCGTTGGAAATCAGCAAAGACAGAAGGTCACAGAGCCTATGTATAAGTTGCTTGAGAGAGCTTTGAATGACAAAGAAAGCACAGATACTCCGGACACGTTAGCTACAGCTGGTCACAAAGGAATTTGTACATCAGAAATGAAAAAAACATAAAGACGTATCTGATGAAACTTTTTCTTTCCCCAAAAATGCATATTACAGATATATTTACCATTTGCTACTTCTAATTTAGTTTACTACCTAAGGCCTTTAGGAGAATCAAGCTCATGTTTTAAAAAATGGGATTTTAAGATTTTATATTTGTAAGGGCTACTTTGCCTGGGGGCCAAAGCCTACAAAAAGCACGATCAAAAAGTATGATCACATAAAAATGAAAACTACATACATACCAACCCTATAAAGTGGACTATTCATATTGCTTTGCTAAAAATAAAACTAACACTATTAACTGAACCATTTCATCATGTGTGGCCTTTGTAGCTGGATTAATTTCTCCTATGCATAGGAAATGGCTAAACAAACAGGTGTGTGTTTTCTACATTTATAGTACAAGAAAAGAATGACAAAGAGAGCACATAAAAGATGCTACCTCTATCAGGTCTTTCTGAAAACACAGAAACATTAAGAATGCCACTGTGCATGGTAATGCCAGGGAAGAGAAGAGAAGAGAAGAGAAGAGAAGAGAAGAGAAGAGAAGAGAAGAGAAGAGAAGAGAAGAGAAGAGAAGAGAATCCTTATTCAATAGATTCAATTTGTTCATTAATTCAGTTAAGAATTATTTATTGAGTAAAACACACTTGAATCTGAAACACTTAAATACTCTTTGTTCTGCCTATCATTGATAAGGCATTAACCAATATGCAATCAGATAAAAAGTCATGCTCCTCAAGAGTAGATTCAGATAAAACAGGATATACTATTGTAGTATAGGAATTATGTCTATTCCTTAGACAATTTCACAACACGGGGACCACCACATCAAAAAGACTTGCATTTTATCTTAGATGGATGGACCTGCAGTTGTCTTAGATAACATTTAAGGCTCTATTAAATGTTAGAATGAGTAGTGGGGAAAAAATTATGGTACAACTGTGCCTGGCTTAGGGATTAGGGTAACTGAAGTTTTAAAAGATAAAACAATGATCTTTATATGGGATAGTTATAAACTAAATAGAAGTTTGTCAAGGTGATCCCATAGAACAGGGGTCCCCAACCCCCAGTCCATGGAACAGCCCAGGTCCGTGGCATGCCGGCAACCAGGCCGCACAAACAAGCAAAGTCCCATCGTGATATGTAGGCAGCATGCAAAACCATGGCCCCTTTGTCTGCAGAAAAATCTTTATCCATGGAACCGGTCCCTGTGGCTCAAAAGGTTGGGGGCTGCTGCCATAGAATCTCCTTTCTACTGTATGTAATACGGTACATGACCTAACATTTTGATTCTAAAACGTTATAAATTGAGCTATTGTCTGCCTTCCCAAGGCAAACAAGACAGGAAATGACTAAATCAGCAAAATCTGCTTTTATTGTAAAGCTACATTAATAGCATCTTGCAAGTCTGAAGGTATGAAATTACCACTGCCACTTTTAACACCTAGTTCAATTAGGGCTGGTCTTTCCTGCTTCTTCCTCTGACCATTAATCCATTGGGTGCTCACCCTCTCGTTTGATCATGTCCTATGCAGCACCTCTTTACCTCATCTTCAATGATATTCACATATACCATTACAACTATCAATGTCAGGTGCAAAAACCCAGGTCTGCATGTGAAGATTTTAATTAGCTGACTTATTACTTAGGCCTATGTGCAGAAATCTCCTCTTACTGATTGTTTGCACCTCGGTAAGACTAGATAAGATTGGACTTCACCCTCTTGTGCCTCTATGCAAGAACTCAGGGATCGCCAAGCCCAAAGCCACGGCCCATTATCAGGCCTTGAGAAGTTAGGAACTGGGCTGTGGAAGCAGCAGGCAAGCGTACACATCCCCACTTGTGCAAGTGGCGGGTGAGCAGATGTGTGTGCTTCCTTTACACTAGGAGTATGCATGCCCCCCACTTCTGGAAATAAGGCTGCGCGCACACACGTGCTCTTGCCCACTGCTCGCACAGAACCATCATATGCCACGGTGGCGCAGTGGTTAGAATGCAGTACTGCAGGCTACTTCTGCTGCCTGCTGGCTGCCTGCAATCTGGCAGTTCAAATCTCACCAGGCTCAAGGTTGACTCAGCCTTCCATCCTTCCGAGGTCGGTAAAATGAGGATCCAAATTGCTGGGGGCAAATATGCTGACTCTGTAAACTGCTTAGAGGGGACTGTAAAAGCACTGTGAAGCAGTATATAAGTCTAAGTGCTATTGCTATCACATATGCACCCCTGACAGTCCACAAAACCAGAAATGTTGTGGAACAACTCTAGACTATAATTCTCTGCTTGATTCCTCCCCTGGGTCTGTCAGTCTCTCTCCAGCCATTAATGCTTTTCAACTGTTAAGGGGACAAGTAAGAACTGTGGTTGTAATTCCAATTGCCCAGGAAGTATACTGGGACAGGAGAGGCCTTAGCTTGTTGGTTTTTAAATCAATCTGAGATGGCTATTAAAATAGAGGCAGAGAACTTGTATTCTGCTCTGTAATCTGAGGGGGAAAGTGTTGGGAATAATAAGGCTATTATTATTTTAACTGCAACCATAGTTGTCAATTTGAAATGTCGTCATTGCTTACATAGTAGTGACCAACAACAAACACGCTAAAATGATAAGTCATGACTGATACCTGGATAATCAGCTATCCCTCAATGGTGGGACTTGAATAACTTAACAACCGGTTCTCTAGCTGGGCAGGCATGGCCGGTTGGTCATGTGACTGGGTGGGTGATGTCACTTACCACATCCAGCCCCGCCTCCTGGCCACTCACCTCAAAGACAGAGGTAGGATTCAGCCAATTGGGGCTAATCCCACCACTGGCTGCCCCCCCCCCCGCCCGTTTTTCAGCCTGGTTTTGGGCCATTTCTTGGGCTGTTTTCAGGCCCTTTTGGGGTCCTTTTCAGCTGGTTTTTTTGGGCCGTTTTTCAGGCCCTTTTCAGGCCATTTTCCAGGCTGTTATTTGGGCCATTTTCAGGGCATTTTGGGGGCATTTTTCGGGCCATTCTCCAGGCTGTTTTTTTGGGCCGTTTTAACATTAACATTATCTTGCAAGTCTGAAGGTATGAAATTACCATTGCCACTTTTATCACCTGGTTCAATTAGGGCTGGTCTTTCCTGCTTCTTCCTCTGACCATTAATCCATTGGTCTAGGGATTAAAGCAGCAGGTTAGAAAGTGGGAGACCATGAGTTCAAGTCCTGCCTTGGCCATGAAAACCAGCTGGGTGACCTTGGGCCAGTCACTCCTCTCTAAATTCAACCCACCAACAGGGTTGTTATGGGAAAAATAGGAAGAGGAAAGTGTGTTGGATATGTTCAGGAGGAAAATGGGTATGTTCACTTCTTTATTTGTAAACAAACAAACAAACAAGAATTAGTGCTTTGTGTCATTCTCTAGAACACAGCCAAAAGTAGAAGTTTTGTCTTTGACCGCTATTCTGATCAGGCTGATCTAAAGACGTTTCGGTTGATAAAATCAAAATGTATTCTAAACACTTCTTTAAAAGGACATGTATTTTCTCTCTTTTCTCCACAACATTTCATCTACAAGACAGACTGAAACTGAAGATAGATTAAAATAGGTCTCAAGTGATTCTATTGTGAATCTTACCATACTATTAATAACAACTCCTCTGAGGTCACGAGATTCTAGTATTCTATTTGTTATGCAAGGAACACATCATAATTGTGGAGCCAGCTCTATCTTGGCAGAATTGTATTACAATAATGTGAAAAACAGAAGTTTGATCAATGAAGACTAAAAGAAGAACTGGAATCTGGTGTTAGTATTGATTATTTTGTTTAACAGATACTTATATTAATTTAATCTCCAAAAACCTATATTTCTTGCCACATCATTATTAAGTGCCTGATTAAGATGTTTATAGGAACTGCTCAAAAATACACTATAGTGTATGGTTTGTATCTCCTGAGAACATCCAGTCAGTGGATAGATTGTTCATTGATCTACCGGAAATGAATGTATTACAACTGAGTTATAGAAAACAAAGATAAAGCTCAAGGACTTTAATGGCACTCTTCTGGAAAGAAGTGTAATAACCGTGCCAAAGGTTTAGACCCAAGCACTATGGATTAGCCACAAATTTCTCTTTTAAGTGTTAACTGAGACTCATGTTCAAATGAGAAAATGACAGATGATTTGAACCAGAAGTTTGGCCAGTTTCTTATGGTTTTGGAAAATAGTGGTGTTTGAAAATCAGTCTTGTCAGTCATAATGGCAACAGGATGATATTCCTCATACTTGCCAACTCAATGGAAGAAAGCATCCCACCCTCTTTCTAATTTCAAGCCTTCCTATCTCCAGCCCATTCTTCTGGGACCTATAAATTGTGATCAATCCTATTTTCCCTTGCTACATTTCATTAGATACTCTGCCAGTCTTACAGTCAATCTACTGTATTTCTCCAATCTTTATTTCATCTACCACTTTAATTTTGAGAAATGTTTCTTGCCTATTGATACTTTTAACACTTAAAACATTTTTTTTATCCAGAAGTAATTGACGGCATATAGGTTGTAATATAGTTACATAATATTGTAAATGTATTGTTATCCAGTCTAGGAAGCAAGTCTTAGGACACAGAAAAAGTGCTTTCACTTTTTATATAAAGATATTTAATTATTTCTTTTCCTTGCCTGAGAATCACAGAAACTGGCCGAGAGCTGCTTGTAACCAATTAAATGCCATTTAACATTATGCTTTTGCTCTTCCTGCCCAAGTGCTTTGGAAAAAAAAAAAAAGAGCTGAAAATTAAGATAATGAATCCTTAGTTAGAACAGAGTTTATTACAAATTAGGCTGCAATCCTCAGGTAATAATTTGGATGTATCTTGCTGCTTGGTGAAATGAGACTTGTCCATTGTCCATTAGACCTCTTGCCCATCATCCAAAATAAAGCAAAGGGAAAAGAGGCATTTCTTTACCCATACCAATGATCGAAGAATTCACTTCAAAAGAATGTGATGAAAACACAAATGGTCCTTTGGAAGAGAATATTTGTAGATCAGGGTTGAAATGAGGGGTCCTTGGTGCTCTCCGAGCTTGGTTGTTTTCTTGCAGATGTTTTATTACCAAACTGGGTAACATTATCAGTGCTAGGTTGGCAAGAAAACAGCCAAGCTCAGAGAGCAGCAAGGACCCCACAGACGGTCCTTGTTTAACGATCACTTGTTCAAGCAACCATTCAAAATTAGGGTGGCGCTGAACAAACGATAGTTATGACCCGTTCTCAGAATTCTGGCCATCACAGCATCCCACAGTCATGTGATAGCAATTTGCATTCTTCCCAGCTGGTTTCCCACAAGGAAAGTCAACTGGAAAGCCAACAAGAGATGGGAAGTCGTGGTCACAAAGTCCTTACTTAATGATACCAACTGGAACTGCTGGAGTTGCTGACACTAAGTCGCACGGGCATGTGTTGATGTGCTTTAGACCTGTGGCAATTCCAGTCCTCATTGCCATTGTTAACTGGGAATTACCTGTGCAATTTATGAGACTGTACAATATCTCTCAATACTGGCTTTAAAAATATAGTCAATTAAAGTCATATTCTGAGTGTGTACTGTATTCTGAGTGTGTACTGTACAGTACAGTACAGTACACTTGTACTGTACAAGTGTACAGAATGTGTGTACATATACTGAGTGTGTATTGTATGTTAGTGGGACATAAGTAACATCATACTGATCTGCAAGGTAGTTTCTAGATTGGACAAACTTGGGAGTAAAATTGGGCTTGGATGGCACCTATGCTACATTGACCAAGTGTGCCACACTGGCTGAAATTGTGCTGTCAGCATATGGCATATTAATCCTACAACCATAATAGCTGATAATCTAACCTGTCTTTCTTTTGCTGAAAACTGAAGTGAAGCCAGAATTAATTCAAGTTATTACAATGTGTAGAGGTCAGTATTTAGGGATTCTCCTGAGGAGTATCATGGCACATGGAATATAAGGCATTCAACCTGTGTCTTCTCAAGGAGGGCTAACAAATCCTTGGTGTTAAGCAGATAGTCTAGGCTGGCTCTTCCCAGGCAAAGCATCTTTTATCTTACAGGCGATTTTGTTTGAAGTTTCCTACCTATCTTAATAATTGTGTTTGATTTGACAGGCTGAGAAAAAATAGCACCATGGACGCAGAGGAAAGTTCCTTGTCTTTCCGCTTGCTTGATATAGCGGAATACAATTTAGAAGAAAAAGTACTATTCATCTCTCTTCCGATCTGCATTGTGGGATTCCTAGGAAATTCGGTTATTTTATGGTTCCTCTGCTGCAGGCTCAGGATTAAATTAAACCTGTATTTTGTGTGTGTGGCAGCTGCTAATAACATGTTAACCTTCAGCATCATTGCTGAGTATATTATGTTTTTTAGACCACTGATCTTCAATTTAATGTTTCACCGGGTATTGCATGTTTTGCATTTATGCAGTCATCAAGTCAGCTTTTATATCTTTGCAGTTATCACTGCCGAAAGATGGTGCATTCATTTTTTCCCTGTTTGGTATAAACAATTTCGGCCCATGAATTTCTCAGCCATTATGTCCTTTTCTTTGTGGGGGTTCACCTCTCTGGTATCAATTGTGACCCACTTTCTTTGCTCTCCAATAGCGGAAGTACACTTCAAGGATATTGAGAAGTGTACAATTTCAACCATACTACTAATCATCACTCAATTAATTTTTATTCCAAGTATAATGTTTTTTTCTTTGGGCATATGGATTAGAATTCACATGAAAGAGGAAGTTCCCCCATTGAGACTTGATATCACCATTGTAGCCATAGTTCTTCTCTATCTGATGTTGAATGTACCATTTGACTTAGCTACGATCTCGATGTACTGGGTTGACAACATTGATGGATATATTCTGGGTAGCCTTAACACACTATTGGAGTCAATCACCAGTGCTATCAGTCCTTTTATATATCTCATTGTTGGGTGTTGGAAGAAGCCGAAAATGAAGAGCGCCTTTGAGTTTCTTGAAATAGCTTTGTCAGGCAAAACAGCCATGCTTGTAAAAACACAAACACAGACTTAAAATTCAACAACTGTATGCATAGAAGAAAACTGATGTGCATTTCTCTGCTGTAAAATAAATTTGTTTACAAATATTGTATGCACTGTTCTAGTACGTGCCTGTGTATTTTGAGTCATGGTGGTCCAATGTTTAGAATGCAATATTGCAAGCTACTTCTGCTGACTGCAATTCAGCAGTTCAATTTTCACCGGCTCAAGGTTTACTTGAGTCTTCCATCCTTCCGGGGTGGGTAAAATGAGGACCCAGATAGTTGGGGACAATATTCTGACTCTGTAAACTGCTTAGAGAGGGCTGTAAAGCACTGTCAAGCGGTATATAAGGCTAAGCGCTATTGCTCTTCTGTGCTATGCCCCATAATATACCAAGCGGTCGTAAATTGCTTCTCAGCGAGAGCAGGACAGTAAATGGAGTAAGTGAACAAATCACATTGGCATAGTATTCCGAGTATGAAAATTATATTGTGCATGCATAAAAGACACATACGTATATAAAATACTACATGCAAATTTAATGCAAATTTATATCATTTGTTAATGGAGGGGGCAATGCTTATGCAGTCATCAACTGAGGCACCACAAAATAAACTAGTGACCCCTTGGAGCAGGGGTGTCAAACTGGCGGCCCATGGGCCGGATGCATCACGCACAGGTCATGTCCACCCCAGCTCCATAAAGGCAAAAAAACATCATGATACGCTACGTGATCAAGTTTGACACCCGTGCCTTAGAGTGATCATTCAATGAAAACTCTAAAGAGGAGAAAGATGTATAGGCAATACAATCAGACCACTGAGAAAGGCAAGCAGTCCCCCCAATGCCAAAATACAGGGAGTCCTCAACTTACAACAGTTCACCTAGTGACCATTCAGTTACGTCTCTGAAAAAAGTGACTGATGACCATTTTTCACACTGATGACCATTGCAGCATCCCCGTAGTCGCTTGATCAAACTGTAGATGTTGGGCAACTGGTTCATGTTTTTGAGGGTTGCAGTGTCCCAAGGTCATGTAACTACCTTTTGTGATCTTTTGACAAGCAAAGTCAACGGGAAAGCCAGATTACAACCCTGCAGTGATTCACTTATCAACTGTGGCAAGAAAGGTCATAAAATGAGGCAACATTGACTTAATGACTGTCTCACTTAACAGAAATTTTGGGCTCAATTGTGATCGTAAGTTGAGGACTACCTGTGTTCGAAGCATATAAAAGTGAGGATTTAGAGATGTTCATTTAAAAAAAAAGGAAATCTAGCTAAGTACTCTGCTATAAAAGTACAATTTGAATGATGAAAGCAACATTTTGGGTCTCTGGGATTCACAAAAATTTGGGGGCAATGGCAATAGCTATAATCTGGAATCATACTTTGTTGTAGGTTCACTTGGAAAAAGGGGACTTGCCCATCCAAAAATGACTCTCATGGTAAACATGTTTCCTTGAAAAAATACAGAATGTTTATTAGAAAACTGATGATTGGCTTCCGGGGCAGCCTGGCAGATTGAGCTCAACTGTGCTTTTTTCAAAACCAGCAAGCATGGCCAAATTAGGAGCCAATGAGGGGAATGGATGCTTAGAACTCCTCTCCAGGTCAAAGAGAAGGTAAGGATCACCCACACTCGACCCCTAACAGGCACTCCTTATGGAGAAATCACAAAAATACATTCTCCAATGGGTTTGAGAGGTAAGACGAGCTGATATTTTTATTTTCAAGTGCTAGATGTCATATGGAGCCTAAAAAAGCATTCTTGGAAATAAAGATACTCACGGCGATATTCCATTTTTCAGTATTATCTACCTCCGAATTTTACCTCCGGAAAAATTCATAAATAAAAAGCAAATGGGAAAATTGGTAACTGTCTAGTGAACATGTCCAAAGGCCTAAGTGTACAATACTGGGGATCCCAGCAATACAAAGCACTTTTATAGTCTGTCTGACAGACACATTACAGTAGATCATACATGATGTATACATAATGTGTTTAGTCTATTAGGATGATACTCTTTTGAGCATAATTAAAGTGTGGTTAACAGTTGCTGTGAGGTCACAGGATTCTCATTCTATTGTTTGATCCGTACATCGTCACAGGCCCCTGGTCATAGAATTAGAGGTTTATGATGAACCAGAAACCTGATCAAAAACGGCTGAAAAAAATGTGGGGCGATAACCATAGTAGCATTTACTTTTCTATCTAATTTGACAAACGGATTTATTAGCCACAAGTGTCTATTTAAGAGGCATTCTAGGAATTTGTGAACATAATCGTGTATAATGTATTCTGTAATTTGATTGTAAGAATACTTACCAAGTGATCAGACTGTTAAAAGAGATCACTGCACCAAAAATAGAATAGTCCTTATAACGGCTTGAAGGAAGTTTGGAACTGAGGCAAATGAAAATCATCTTTTCTCTTTGGTGTTTTCTCTAGAAGTAAGGTTAACGTGTTCACCACTCCCATCTTTCTGAACCTGTTTGCTATTCGTCACGACTCAAGAGCAATCCTGTATTGGCTTCAGAGAGGCAGTTAAAAGTTTGATCTGCAGGTGATCTTTAATTAGACAGTGATAGTCTCCAATGCAAGTTGTTTTATATAATCAGTGTCTTAGTAGGTGATTGTTGACAGTTACAGCAAATGTAGTATAAGAATGGGGATCCTGTAGCCTTCCCAACGTTGCCAAACTACAAGTCCCAGCATCCCTTCCCTTTGCCAGTTAATTATACCTAAAGGATTACTGTTGGGATGCGGTGGTTCAGTGGCTAAGACACTGAGCTTGTCGATCAAAAGGTCCACAGCTCAGCGATTTGAATCCCTAGTGCCATGTAATGGGGTGAGTCCCCGTTACTTGTTCCAGCTTCTGCCAACCTAACAGTTCAAAACACTTAAAAAATGCAAGTAGAAAAATAGGGACCATCTTTGGTGGGAAGGTAACAGCGTTTTGTGCACCTTTGATGTTTAGTCATGCCGGCCACATGACCACGGAGACATTTTCGGACAGTGCTGGCTCTTCAGCTTTGAAATGATGATCACCGCCCCCTAGAGTTGGGAATGACTAGCACATATATGCGGGGGGAACCTTTACCTTTTAAGGGATTACTGTTAATTACTGTTAATTACCTTAATTACTGTTAATTACTGTTAAGAGGTATCTAGAATCATTTCAATTATCGGGGCCCAGTCCAGTATAAACAATCTGATTTCTAGAACCTGCAGCATTTCTGTTGTTTGCTGGTTGCCTTGGTTCATGTGGGAGTCATTGGGCATGAAATGGAACATTTAAGCATAAACCTAGATATTGTATTTTGAATTCAATACTGGTTCACATAGTATTATTATATATGTATACTGAAGTGGCCACTTCTAAAAGGAGTCCTTGCATGTTGCAATTTTGTTCTAGAAAAGCCATTTAATTAAGAAATATAAGAAAGGGGCTTTATCACACATTTGTTGATTTAGATAAAATGTATTACAAAATAAGTAATTTGGTCCCTTTGCTCCTAATTATATTAAAAATGATTTCTCTATTTGAGCAACCATCTTATCACCAAGGAAACTATTTGGAAGATTATGTAGAAATTTTTCTGGATAATCAATTTAAATTCTCTTTCTTCCTTAATCGTTGGTGAACCACAAACGACAATAACCATGTACTGGGTATGTCTAGTTTAATGAAAAGAAGGACTGGGGTGACATGATAGCAGTGTTCCAATATCTCAGGGAAGAGGGAGTCAAACTATTCTCCAAAGCACCTGAGAGCAAGACAAGAAGCAATGGGTGGAAACTAATCAAGGAGGGAAGCAACTTAGAACTAAGGAGAAATTTCCTGACAGTTAGAACAATTAATCAGTGTAACAACTTTCCTCCAGAAGTTATAAGTGTAACATGACACAGGTAGTCCTTGTTTAGCAATTGCCTCAGAGCATGGGTGTCAAATTCACCTTGTCACATTGCTGTCACGTGACATTTCACAACATTTTTCCCATTCGCAGAGCTGGGGTGGGTGTGGCTTGCGCCTGCAGGCCTCCAATTTAACACCCCTGCCTCAGAGAGTGACTGTTTGTATTTACAACAGTGATGAAAAAGTTTGCGGCCAATCCTCACATTTACAACCTTTGCAGGTTGGTAAAGCAAAGCAAAGCTGAAGTAAGATAAGAACAGTTGCGTTTTCATTCAGCTCAGCGACCAAATTGCCAATCCCACTTGGGGGCATTTATCAAGGACCACCTGTTGTTTTGTGTCACCTGTGAAAAAATTATGGATTGCCGAGTTTCTTTTCGCAATATAAAATCCCATATCTGCGTGAACAGAGCATAATACCGTAATAACAAAAAATTGTTTTTGCTTTTGACAGGTTGAGAAGAATTTCAAAACACGTGAATAGTGTTGTGCCAGAACAAATTAGCAATATTCCATCTATGCTGACCCAGCGAATGAAAATGAGACTGAAGTGGCCCAGAAAGCATATCACATTGACATAAGCAATGATCATCATTGCTATTCCAATCAGCATTTTGGGAATATTTGGAAACATACTGGTTATTCTTTTTCTTTCCTTTAAGATTAAGAAGACGAGGTTTACCATATATGTCCTAAATATAACTATTGCTGATCTTAGTATTCTAATCTATCTATATACTTATTTTATGCTATTTTTAGAACCCAGTATTGTCAACGCATCTGTATCCTATGTAATAGAACTGATATATGCAGTTGGATGCAATTCCAGATTCTATATGTTAACAGCTCTATGCTTTGAAAGGTATTTATCTGTTTTTTACTTTACCTGGTATCAATGTCATCGGCCAGAACATCTTTCATTTTTTTTGGTCAGCACATTGTGGACATTTTCTGGCCTGGTATCACTTTTGGAATACTTTGCTTGCTACCCAAGGTTCTACATATACTTGGATGAAAATACTTTACAGTGCAGAATCACAAATCTATTCCAAATATTTGTTGAGTTCCTGATTTTTATTCCCATCATGGTCTTTTACACTTTGGCTATTTTTATCAGAATGAAGAAAAAAACCCAGCAAACTCCTCCAGCAGCACTTGATATCTCTATTACTGCTACCATTGTTATTTTTCTTGTATTTGATGCATCGGTTAAATTTTTTAATATTATTGAATTTTGGTTTGATGCAGTACACGTACCAACATTTTCAGTGGCGGTATTATTTGACACCATAAGCAGCAGTGTCAGCCCATATGTGTATTTTATTATTGGAGGTTTTCTGAAAAGGACTTCTGATCCTCTTGAAGTTTTCCTTGAGAGAGCTTTGCAAGATGAAGGAACAATAGTGGAGGGAACACAAATGCAGCAAGAAGAGCTTTCCAAATGAAATATCCATAGAAGAATACACTATCGGCTTACAATTCCAATTCCAAAATAATTCATTCATTACTCCTTATATATCATCCAGGTCCATTAATTAAATAACTCCCTGTTTATTCCTGCCATATAAAAAAATCAGAATAAAGAAGTCGGTGGCCAGGAAAGAAAGTTCCGCTGAGAGAATTTTAATTCTGCAAAGACTTCGTTGTGGTTATGATCTATGAGACCAAGAGCTCCTAAAGGAGGAAATAAGAGGAAAGGAGAAACAACTGTAGACTGCCTCTATACATGGAAGATTGGAGGGCAGCAGAGGAAGGAGAAGAGAAAGCTGTGGAGTCAAAGGAACCTGGAAGGAGTGGAAAGAAAAATCTATAGATGGAAATATAGCGGCTGTTATATACCCCTTAAGACTGACAGAGGTGGTTTATGTTCACACAAATAATATTCATCCCACATCTCCATCAGGAAGGTTTTGATAGGTACGAAGTGATGCATCTTGACTCTGAGTTACATAGAGAAAACACAACTGTTTATCTTTAGATATAATGTTCTACTTTAAAGGACTTTAATCTAATTAGAACACAAGTGGGGGGGGGAGGAATTTCCAAACTTTTTGGATTTTGTATGTTAATGTCATACACTTTTTCTTTATTTGAAATTTTATACCTATGACATAGTACTGAAAGGTTCCCGCTGATGTAATCTTAAAGAAAAATAGTAAAATTTTGCCAAATAAATCAGTAAATGATAAGCAATGCAGTGCCTATTTTTTTAAAAAAATCAAGCTCAAAATCAGAAGCAAAAGTAGATTAAAGAAAAAAGAAGCAGCATAAAACAGTTCTTTAATTAACTGGTAGAATTAAAAACAGTTCTTCACCTGACAGGAAAAAAATCTAAAGAAAATAAAATCTAGTATTGGGTAACCATTTCTGGAAAGACTGAAGGAGACAGAATAAAATATTTCATGAAACAGTTTAATGCTGTAACCCAAATGAAGGCAGGGCCTTTCATCTCTGCCATTTTACTAAAGCAAACAGGAGAGATACTATCATAAAGGAGAAACAAGAGCAGGAATGTCTGCAAGGGGTCGTGGTAATTAAGTCAAAATGGCAGTTGTGATCATGTAACTGAAGCACCGTCCCTTTTTGACATGTGTTGTAATAATCATAAAGTGAAATTTGATTGCATGGTTATAGTTGCTATCTTGATTTTTTTTTATTGTCACTTATAGACACCTCTGGCTGGGTGAAGGTAAAACAATTTGGAAAACCTGCTGCACTTTCTAAAAAAAAGTGTCCCTCAGATGCCATGTTAAATTATCATGAAACTGGATACTATGACATTATTTATTTGACGGGTTTATAGAGCCAACCGATCCTGTACGCCACTTGTGAACACTTATGAAGATTCCAAACAGCTTCACATAAGTTATTTTGTTTTAAAGTCAAAAAGACAAAAAAAGTTATTTCAATCCTTACCCAGAAGCCAACAGCCTGATTACCAACAATGGGATGAATTCCTGTTACTTACCTCAGCTCCTACCTACCTAGCAGTTCGAAATCATGCAAATGCGAGTAGATAAATAGATGCCACCAGCCAACTGCAAAAAACCTCAGTTCCTGCAGTCTACTTAGGAAGAGTTGCTGTCCAGGGTACATGTGGATGATCTCACGATTTCTATTTTCTCTAGAGTGAATTTGGTGGCCTAGAACTACCCTCTGACAGCCACTCTCCCCTGAATACTATCACTCCTCAGTGACAGATGCCTAGGTCACCATATCCTCATTGGAAGTTCCATGAACAAACAGTTCCCAGTAAATGTGAGTCATATGTGTCTTTTGGGGATATCAAAGAGAACTGATTACATAAGTGTATTTTTAATCCAATTTGACATACTGCCCTTATACCCAGTCTTGAGTTAATAAGACTGTTAAATTACACATGCTTTATATTTTGAATTATTGCCTCTTTTTTCCATGTTTCTTTTTGTACAGTTGAAATGCACTATTACAATTATATTCATAGATTATTTTTTAAAAAAATTCAAAGCAAGGACTTAAGGTTGTACTATACACTTAGAAGGGAAAAAACTAATTATATTTCTAAATTAAATTAAATTAAATTATGGTGCCATGTTAACTTTGGGGTTTGGAAAACTCATTCAACCTACATAATCAGCACCTCAAAATGCTCTATGTTGATCCTTTCACTCATGGGAAGTTAGAGACTGTCCTTTAGTTTGGGACACAATGATAGTGCTGTTCTGAAGATTATTCTTAGTGTGGAGAGATCACTGACACAAACTTGAAAAGAGGCATTCAATGGCAATCAAACATCCTTTTTCCAGTTTTTTCTATGAAGAAGGTTTTTTTCCATCTTGCTGGTAGAAAAAGGCCATTTCTGAAGAAAAATGAATGACGATTGGAATGAACGATGAGTTGAGAATGGGCTATGAGTATCAATATCAAATTACTTTGTTTTGTAAAATCAACAGCTCTCATAAATACCACAGTATTTATGTTGGATGAAACTAGAAATATCCATTTTTTGCAGTAGCCATGATGACTGGTGGTTTAAGATGGCTTGTCCTGAGCATTGGAAATTGAGTTCAGGATTGGAGCTTAAAATAATTACAGGATTTTTTTTTACTTTTTCTCAACTATAAATAGAAAGAACATACATTCAAGCAGCATAAACTTTTTCAAAAACTCTCTCTTCACATTCTCTGAATTACCGAGAAGAAGGGTTGAAATAAGCTGTTAGTGAAGCTGTATGTTCTTGGAGAAGAAATTAAGAAGTAAAAAAAATAAAATAGGGCAGTGATGATAGCTGTTCTACATATGAATGAATTCTGGGTCTTCTAGGGTATTTTACAGCCTAGGAGCCAGATACTTAATGTTATTTTTTCTCCTATGCCAACTTTCCTGTATACAGAGCTAATCTTTTGAGTACCTTACCATGAAAAGTGAGCGGTATGGTGACTGGTGCGTCTTGTATGTTATAGGTCTCTGCAGGAACTGCCTACTACTGCAATTAGCTTTTTGATACCAAATAATTATTCCACTTCTTCCAGAATTTAACATTTATTTGTGTAGTTTGTACACAAATTATTTTGGGTTCTCTAGATGAACTGCCCCGGAAGCTTCATATCCCTCTTGAAAAGAAAGGAAGGAGAGTTGCTCAGTGCTGGACAGATTATGTACAAGCAGCAAGCACAAAATGTTTTGTGCAATACTTACGCTTTAAGAAAATCCATTCTTCTATATATTTTTTTCCATAATAAAGAAGTTTCCTTTTCGCTACATCCTATTTGACCAAGTTCTCTTTTCCTATTCTTCTTCCAATATCAGGAACCACACAACTTGGGGATCATTGCAAGGTGTTTTAATCTATTATTGTGCAGCTTACATTTGAGGGGAAAAGAAACCAAGCATTTCTAGTGGATGAGCTGTTACACATGACAACTATAAGAGCCTCCAAGTAAGAAAGCCAGCAGAGACCAAGAAGCCACAATGCCACATATTCTGAAAGAGCACAAACAAATAAACATAAATGCAATTCCAAAGCCAAACAACATCAAGTGTTTAACATCAAGTTTAGTTCTACCTGCCATAGATTCAGTTTCAACTGAATTCATCATTCAAAATGGGCAATTTAATTACAAGGGCATTACACAATGGTTTAGATACTCCATGCTTTACTTATTGTGTAAAACCCCATAATTCCCAAAGCAGCTTATAGCATAAAATCTTTCAAATATATTAAATCACATTCAATAAGTAATTTTAAATAAACTCATTCATAATAAAATACAATATCCTGTTAACACAATCCTGTTAATTCTGAGAATCTTTCTCAGATTTTCTACTTGCTCAGCCTTTGTCTTCACTATTTGAAGTAGCAAAACAAAATGAATACATATATAAAGATTTCATGGCCTACATCTGTCTTCCCCGAGCAGATTCTTCCAAGTGTGTTGGAATACAGCTCAATTCAACCTTGGCCTGTGCAACTATGGAGGCTAGAGATGATGGAAACTGCATTTCTCAGTCCAGAGCAAATATGTCTCTATATTCAATGTTCATTAGAAAGTGGCCGGAACCGTGCTTCAGAGTGCATTATCAATAAAGCTTAAAATAAATCCTGCACTCTTTCAACCCTGGTTCTGTTCTATCTTCCCATGGCTTTAAGCACTGTATATCATTGAGGCTAAGGACTGACAGGTTTTACACTGGTAAGATCACAACTGTATTCCACAAACAGTGCAATTTGGAGATGGAAGTGTTTTTGATATATCAATTCAACATCTTGAATAATTAAGCTCCTAAATGATGCTATCCAGGATGAAAACTTAACAATTACATATTTTTTGAGAATTATCTCATAAATTCCTGCTGGCAGAAAAGACAATTGGGCTACTGTATGTCATACTACTGTATGTAGCTGTTCTGTCTCCAATGGCATGAACATCTGACAATGTCAATCTGGATGACACTCAATAAGCTTTTAATCGTTAATATTTTGAAAATTGATGCTTGTCCAATAGATGAGTGGAAAGAAATCATGGCAGCCAAATGTAGCACACTTCTCTTGAAGAATGTACTTCTAATTGAGCAGTTGCAGCCAAATGCAGATTACAACAACTCAAACATTTAAGCAGGGGTAGATTTCTCCATCAACACCCAGACTGAATTAAGGTAAGTTTTGTAAACTACCATTCCAAAAGATAGCACAAAGTCAAGCTTACTTACTGTAAGAAGCTAGTCACTTGTGGAGAATGCTTCCAACGGTGATACACAGAAATCTGCAGGTTGGGATGGGCTTTATATACTTTCATAACTATCCTGATGCTGTAAGAATAATTTGAAGAGGAAACTCAGCTTGTTGGCTAATACAGTAAAGAAGAATGCTTCAGTTGCCTCTTGAAAAAGTACTTTTCGAACAACCATGATCTGGATGACTGAGAACCTCCATAGACATTTGCCTCAACTAGTGTTCCTCTTGCCTCACAAAATAAGCCACTCTTAGCCAGAAGAAATTAAAACAGGAAGGCAGAAATTAAAACAGGAAGGCAGTCAGAGAATGAAGGGACTGAGTTTTTTCTGGCTGATGGCCAATCTACGGCCACCTAACTTACCTCCACATCAACCTGACCAAAGTATGCTTGCTCACATTCTCACAGCACAAAGGATTTATATGTTAGCCCTTTGTCCTAAGGAAAAGAAGATTCCACCTTGCTTTCACTCAAGTTTCCACCTTTTCCTTTTTAATTGTTCTCTTGGCCAAAGCAAAAGACCAAGAGGAACAATTCCACAGCAACTTCTCATCTTACTTCTCCTGCACAACATCACATTTCATTTAAGCCCATTTCCATTTCCCTATTTTGTTTTTAGGACTGATAATTAAAAGCTCAAGCATGGCACTAGTATATAATATGCTTGGTTCAGTTTTGCCTTAATAGATTTATGAAGCTCTCCATCATGGTTTCTTCAATAAATCTTTAAACCATGATGAACGAGGAAATAGCTGCAGAGGAAGGACTCAGAATTGTTGAGAAATTACCAATAAATTGTTCTTATTCTTTGAAGCTATAAGAAGTTTTGTTTTGAGATGGGAAAAGGGAAATGTAAGCAGGAGCAGAGGTTGAGAGAAAACAAAATGTTGAAATACTAATGGAATTTGAACTATTTAAATCTCTAGATAAGTTCCAGATAGTACATAACTAGAAAGTGAGACCATTTTAAAGAAAAC